TATTGAGTATACCTACTCCGTATGTTTCAAAAGCTAAGAGATGTCGTGTTCGATAAAAGGAAACGTGCGACGGAATAGGCTAGACGAAAACACACGAAACGCATCAACGAGGCGAGATGCATCGTCCTCCAGGGTGACGTTCCAGAAATAACTCAGGACATCGCAGTCCAATCGTAGCTGCTTTCGTTCATCAGTTCAAGGTTAAAAGCGCGTCGCCATCGCGTGGTGGCTGCAACTTCCATGGACCGAAATACATCCCCCCTTCACTGATATATATAAATACACTTACGAAGAACAAAAAACCAAAAGAAAAGATAACGACGAAGTGTGCCGATAACCTTCTTTTAGATGCGACAACGCGCGATGGCGACATATATATACAGGAAACGAAAGAGTAATCGAAACAGAAGCTCTAAGAGAAGATCTTTCACAGGATGCCAACGATCATTGGCGAAATAAATTTTATTCATACTTAACGTTTGTGCGACAATTTAGAAATGTGTTTAGACATTCCACAAAAAATTTGAAAGCTGCGGTATTACAAATTAATCACCTTTTTAAAAGTGCTCACGATTTCGAAATTTATAAAGCGGCAAATTACGATGCTCTTGGAATTTAGGATGTACACAAAGTAAATTTATGAGATTTGATATCCGTTTAAATCAAATTTGAATTTCGTTTTGCTTAAACTTTATTATAGAAGATAAACTTTCCGAGATGTAATGCCTGCTTTTTTAAGAGATAATTTAATTATCTATATATACGTAGGATAATTAAAATACGAACATTGTATCGAGCGATATAAGTTCAATTGAAATGCATGAACTGTGTTGCGTGCCTGAAAACGAATTAAACATTCCCGTGATCGACGGGCGCGATGGTCAATGAGGTTATCCACAATAGATGCGTTGACCTTTACAATGGATACACCCTGTGGCGTGTCGATGACACTGTGTTCTATAAAGACCCTGAGAAGGTGTATATTCATACACACACACACATATATATACACACCCCATATATTATATGTACTGCATATATAATACATATATAATATGTATATATAAGATCTTTTTAGTCTTTGTTTTACTCTCGTCCAGCAGTCGTTGAACTCGACCGTTGGGGACAACACACTTCGAACTATGCACAAACGTAAATTAAGTGCATTAATGCGAGTCCTTTAGCCGCGGAAGGATACGCATCGCCAGCATACAGAATTTCTTTCCGACACGACAAAATGGCAAATATCAAATTGTTCACAATACGTTAACCTATACTCTGTACTTAAATGTGTCATATATCGCGCGTTGATTTAACATTTTTTTCGTGACGTACTGCTCTTTTACTGTTTATATTGTGGATGTCGTTGTTCCTCGCTCATCCACCTCCTGCGAAGGTCACACGAGCCGCGTTAACTTCTCTCGCGTGTGATAACGCGAGAATAAGACGTTATATCTCTGTTTACGCGACGATTAAATAAATCTAGTGCGCAACGCGAAGGATACTTTCGCAACCGTACCTACCACTGCATTGTGAGTTAAATGCTTAATTGTATTGCGCGTTGTGTGTAATTAATAGTGAAAGTTCTGAGGGTTCGAGAGACAGCAATAAACGTGATGTTAGGAAGGCGGAGATAAGAGCAGAATTTAGAAAATTCGCAGCGCAGCGAGATTCGCGAGCGGCGACATATTTTGTTCTCGGTATCAGCGCGAAGGTGCGATGCACCTACGTGCAGCCGGGTCAAGGTCGTATTCCTCGTGCGCCGGGCCGGCTGAGTCATTCGTGCAGAATCGTGCATGCACAGAGCCCTGGGTGTGCGAGTGCATCGAACCCGAGATGACCGTTGCAGCTGCAAGCGCGACGCTGGTAGCCCACTTCGGTCGTCCCCGGTGCGCGTCGGCCGCCTTCGGCTGCATTCCGCGTGCATCAACCCGCGAGACCGCCCTCGAGAAGCGCCGCCGAGTGCAATGCCCAATGCTGCGTGCGCGAAGACGCGCGCCGCGCGCCGCGCCGCGCGCGCGAACAGCTGCGTAAGGGCGAGAGACGGAGAAAGCCGGGAGAAAGACCGGACGGAGGCCGACGAGATAGAAGAAGCGAGGAGAAGAGAACGGAGCGGAGGAAGAAATGCAGGGCCACGAAGCGAGAGACGTTCGCCGCGATTATCTCCAAGGGATGCCGCTCGACGGCGACCAGGACAGTGTTCGCCAAATGGCTGTTAATACATCCCGTCGGACATAATCTCTATTCGCCTCGCTTTATATCGCGTGTACGAGTATATTTTTAAATATGAATATCTCTTAGATCCTCAGGCACCAGCCTATATAGATGTCTTAGCTTTAACGAATTTTATTTCCATTTTACACGACTGAGGTTCATCGAGTTCTCTGTTCGATAAGTTTTCAGTTATACTTGAAGATATTATGGATGTTTGATTTTAGAGAAAAAAACTATGAAAAATCAACAGCTATATACGTTAAATTCTACAGCTACGAGTTTTTCATAATTATAATGCTCTATTTCCCATCTATTACATCTCAGACGCTTCTAAAAACTTTAGACAGTTAATCGCGGCAAGTGTTAGCCGATATATAGTTGAGATGTATAGTCGAGCTCGTGACTCTGGCGACCTTACCTAGAGACCTCGGACGTCGATTGACGGTTTTGCTTACATTTGAGAGACGCTGCGAAGGGCCGATGCACCACTCAGGGTGAACGTTCTCCGCGCGCGCTAGCTCGCTCGTCGGCTTTGTAGAGCGTGGCAACGTTCGCGCATACACGCATCCAGGCGCGTCGTGCGTACGTGCCTGCCAGCTTCCAGGGATGGCTAATGTTCCTCCGATCGAGACATATCTGCTACTAGTTCCCAGTCTCCAACAACAACCTATTCGAGCTGATCTCCTATTCTGATGGCGTGGGGCGATTCGTTATAATTCTATTTTAACACGAGGACACATAAAATCAGAGAATTTGGAGAATTAATATTTAATGAAATTTATCACTGATATATTGCCTGATTCTTTCTTTGTAAAAAGATGAAATTATATCAATATTGAAGATCTGGAAGAGTTTTGCACCTGTTCCCACAGCTTCTTATTCTGCGTGAAATAGACAGTCGTTCAACAAGAAGAAAAGGTGAATTATTTATTCGCGTTTCCAATAATATTATAGGATATATAAATAATGCGTAACATATGGGATCTAGAGTTATCTAAAGAGTGTGCGTCGTTGAGCGATACAAAATTGGCCAAGGTTGGCAAGATAGGCTAAAAATTGATCAGACGGCTACGTTTAGCGCGAATACGAGCCGATGCCTAGCCGAATTGTTATTTTACCCGGCCCTGAAAGCATTACGACGAGTGAAACGTCCGAGAGTGGACGTTGCATATGTGCAAAATGGGTGCAGCGCGGGGGACGAAGGAAGAGGGAAAAAGTCCGCGGCACGCCGGAGAGAAAGAGGAAGGGCGGCGGAGGAGGGCACAGTGTGGTGTGTCGGGGGCGGAGGGAGGTGGAGTGCATGGGACACCGTGTGCAGCACTCGTGGCTGCACGCGTTTCGCATGGCCACGGGGTTCACTGTCCCGAGCCAAGGCCGCAGGGGCACCGCCCCACTGAACCAATTGTGCCACTTTTATGCTCGTCGACTCATTTTCGTCGAGTTTTATTACTTGCAATGCGTGGTGCCTTCTTCCCCGAGCACGTGCATTATGCGTATATGTAGATGCCCGGCCACCACTTGGCGGATGCAAGCGCTTTATGCATTTTCCTGAAAAAATGCGCGGCTACCGAACGAGAAATGAACGGCAGAAGATTAACTGAAAGAGGTGTGATCGACGTCAAACATCATGTTGTTTTAATTAACGATAATTGCAATTAATTATGCTGCCAATACGCAGGTCTTGAAGGTTCGACATGGTTTTCTCATTATCTCGATTTGTCTATAAGTGTTACTTCTTCCTTAGATAGTTCTTTAGTAATGTTTCTTAATATTTTTTATAATGTTATACTCATATAATCTCGTTTGAGATCAGATATATCCTTTTCCCATATATCTGAGAATACTGTATAATTATGTTTTGATGGAAAAAATATTTTCATCAAGAGAGTTTGTCAGGTTTTGCGAGCAAATGTGTCACAGAGAAAGGCAATAATATACAATTTAATTTAAAAGTATCTTTTACTGGCGTCAAGCCACATTTTCGATGGAACATTGCCGACGATCGAAAATGTGTCATGGGACTTCCAATCGTAATGCCGCGCGCGCACGGATTTGCGAACCCCGGGAAATGCGTTTGGTTTTGCGAACCCCCAGACTGGAGGGGATTGACCCAGACACCCCCTCCAGTAGACGATTCTCCCTCCACCGGGTATAGCTGTAGCTGCTTCTAGAACCCTATACTACAGTCGATGGAACGAGGGTGCAAAACCCCGTCTGCTTGATAAACCGTTGCACCGCCCAAGCACGATAAACGCGATATATCGTTTATCCATTCGTAACAAAAAAAAATTTGCTTCTGTATTCACATATTGCCCTTCGTACAAAGTTCCACTTAATTTTTGTATTTTATGATTAGCAAATAAATTGCGAAATTTTAAAACTAAAATTAGAAAAATCTGATTTTTAACAATACGGTAAAATATCTTAATATTTTTTTCTATTTTAAAATTAATATATAATTCTTTATCTATTTTATATATGTTATAGCTATTCCGATTTTAATGTTTTTATCTGAGCTTTAATTTAAATATTGGCTCACAGTACTTTAAATTTCTATTTTACTATATTCGTCGAATTTATTTCATTATTCTTATTTGAATTAAACTCGTCTATATTATAATTGTCTGTATATATTTTATTAAAATTAAAAATTTATTATACCCGAGAATCACTTGTTACAGCACAAGTATAAATAAAATACATTAGTTAAAAAAAAGAATGCTTATCATAAAACACAGTCATAATCAGAAAATGTCAAAGAATATCTAACGAATGATCAAGCCACGTCATATATCATCGCGATTCATCGACTCCGATCACAGCCTTTTAAACTGTACGGCTTGTCGTCATGGAAATCAATCTTTAAATATAAAAATCCTAGTATTGATTTTTCAAGTCAGCTGGCTTTACTCCATGCAGCTGACTGCATGACGCGAACGCAATAATATTAGAAAAAATGAAATAGTGACTCACATTAATTGTAAGACGCATCAGGCTACTCGATATTTTGGCAGACGTAGTTATAAGAGGTTGTCATCAGGAATTATTATCAATCATTAGAACTCATTAGAAACATTCTGCAAAAAAAAAAGATAAAACTATTTAATGAAGAATTTTAAAATATGTACATTTTTTATTGCATTGTTTACTGTATTGAAAACAGATATTACTTTTCTAACAAACAATTATTTATGAGCGTTACGCGCATCAATATTTACACGTTAGCGACATTGATACATGATGTTACGCGAAGTATTGAAAATAGTAATCAGAATGCAAAGTCATCGCGCTACTCTACAGCATAACATTTTAAAATTGCTCTTTACACTTTCTCCATTAATTAGAATTAATAGACGTTGTTAGAGAGAGTGCAAGGTGATCGTCCGCGTTAGCATGAAAGCGATCAGTTCTGCATCGGATTTCCCTTTCGTTCTCACTGAAATTAATGATTGTTAACAAAACAGAGATATATTTATTATGAAAAAGAGTCATCAATACATTGAAAATTGCTAGAAAGGAGCATTTATCGTTCGACAATGATCACGACAGAATCAAAATTAAAATAATTGTTTTTTTTTTTAATGAAGAGTGCGGCGGAGAATTTAATTACTTTGTAAAAGCGAATTATTTAACGAGACGGGGAATGCAAAACATTTATTATGGGCGAGACTTTATGCGCATAAACAATCGGTGCATTTCAGTGTCATGGTTCGTATAACGTTTGGCAAGCAGGGGTTGCGAACCCCAGGAAAGTAGCCAGCCAGACAGACAGACTAACATGAAAGGGGGTGACCCAGACACCCCCTCTACCGGGATGTTTGCAAGCGACTCGACTACCGCATTGGTCTGTGCAAGCGGTGGTAAAATATCGCGATGGAAGGGCAGCGTTATAAAAAAATAATACGAGGACATTGAAGGGATGACGCTGACTGTTGCGTTTTATCATGACGTCGACAATAACAATTGTTTCGTAATTTTTATAATTAATTATTATAATATATATTTCTTTAGTTAGAAATCTCTCTCTCTCTCTCTCTCTCTCCCTCTCTTTCTCTTGTTTTTTTTTACAATAATTAATTTTCAAAACAAATTTAAAAAATACAATAAAAATCTTTATTACTAATTGTCAATTTAAAATTCATTATTAGAAAATTGGTATTTTCTTGCACAGAGAATTCCTTTGAGAAATAAAGAGAAATAAATTAATAAATTTTGAAAAAAAAATACTAGAAGCGCAGAGCGTTTATTATGTGTGTGTATGTGTAATACTTAAATACGATTATTTATCAAACTGCGAATGTCGTGTCATCCATTTCACATAGTGCTTTTACGTTCTTAAATATCGGGAAGAAATATCGTGTATGGAAATAAGGACGATCCCTTGTCGCAATAACTATTAATAAGAATCTCGGTAGATTCGCAAAGATGGCACGCCCTGGTACTAGTGAGTGAGGACAAATAGAGGACAACGAGAGAGAGAGACGGGTGGAAGGGCGGCAGCTCTCTCGCTTTCTCTCTTTCTCTCTCTCTTTCTCTCCCTTTCTCTCACTCTCTCTCATGCTCGGTGAAGAGGAGGGTTAGAAAGGAAGGGCAGACGTACATCGAGCGTGGCGACGGCGGTGGGAGGACGAGGGATGGCGGTCAGGGTGGAAAGGGAAAAGCGGGAGGGACGGCCGTGGTGTTGCTGACCCGACGACCGCTGTAACCTTGCGTCCCGACGCCCCGCATCCAGATCAAACGACCCCGCATGCACCACTCGAAGGTCTTCGAGTCCTAGACCAATAGATATTTCCGTACATTCCTCTTCTCTAGTCTATCACACCCGTAAAATCTAAGCTGGTGTATTCTCTTTTTTATCATTTCGGAAATGGATATACGGCCCAAAGTGTCTCCTTTATGTGCTATTTTTTAATTGTTACTATTGTAATAATTGTAAATGTATAATCTTTCTCTACTTCATATTTTTATATATTATGTGAACTAGAATTTTGTAACTGTAAAATCTGTCAGATTTAAGATGCACGTAATATTCCAGCAAATACCAAGTAACATGCAATGTAAGTTAGTTGTAATTTTCCAATCAATAAATATAACTATAATAACACATGCGTACTATAATATAACATCAAGTCATTTTATTATTTTACTATTTATACATTACATACTACTTGATGTTTGCTGAGGTTCTGACAATGAGATAAGTAACTTATTTTCATTTTTTTAAATGAGAATTAAGTGATGAGAGAGTGAGAGAGAGAGAGAGAGAGAGAGAGAGAGAGAAGCACAAACGTATTAGGTACATAAACGGAATCTTTAAAGTTTAAGTTTCAAAAATTTAAATACGAATTTAATAATTGTTTTTCTCGATAAAGATTGTATCGTTATTGTATTTTTTCTCTTACTTGTTCTAATTTCTATTTTCCTTTTAAGCACGAGAATTCTGATTCTAAAATTATACGAGAAGGAATAATTTGACAGACGCCGCGCACGAGACTATAGAAGAAGAAATTTAAATGAGTAAAGATTTTTTAATCTCAAGAGACAAACCATAAATGGACCAGTTTAATTGGTTTAACTTTTTCTGACAACTTCCGCTCATATTTAAATTTTAATTATTTTAAATGTAAATAAATATAATAATAAATATTACAGAAATACTAAAAATTAAATTTTATTTTAATTTAATATATATATTTTAGAATAATTGTTTATATTTTATGTTTTTTGCTAAATTAATTAAATTTTAAATAACATTTAAATAATTGTAAGAAAAATAATTAATAAAGTTAAAAACATTATTTATTCATTTGCAAAGTTTAAAAAACGTGCATACAGCTATAAATTTACTAGATTTAATACTCTTAATTTTGTTATAAATAAAACTATTGAACCTCTTTTTCATTATATCGAATTTTTCGTAGATGTTCAATTTTTACAACATTTTTGCTCGTATGACGTTGAAGATCTTTAAGAAATATTTTCATAGTGTATCTTATGGATATACTACTAAATTGTTATAAAATTTTATCAAGCATTCACCTATTTTTATATCATACAATTCTAATCGCACACATTGTGGAAGAGTGAGATAGTACAGTAAATATATGTCTATATTAGTAGTATGTATTATACTTCTCTCACTTACAAAATTTTGCCAATATCTCTTGTCTCGCCAATATCACCTGCAGTCTCTGATTAGAAGGTCTCTATACATATATAAATGAGATGAGATTCTTGTCTCGCGACTCGTCATATCACCATTCACCACGTATCACCAGTCTCTGATTAGAAGGCCTCTATACATATATAAATGAGATGAGATTCTTAGCGCACCATCTTGCGTCAGATACAGAAATGAAGTGGTACGTATTTACCAACTGAAAGATTCCAATTTCATATGATAAATATTAAATATTGTTATATAAAATGAATCAAATGACAATACAGAAAAAATCTATGTTCTCATTATTTAAAAATATCAATTTGAAAACACTGACGAGGTATTATTAAAGACGGCTGATCAAGCAGAGAAAATTTTTATCATTATCTGTCGGACTGTCAAATGAGTCTGAGGATAATTGAAGAATGATGATATTACCGACTGTTTGGGCTATACCGCGAGAATAACAGAATGTTTTATTATTGACAGTGAATCATTTTATTTGCTTCCAAATTAAGGCTCCAAAAAGATATATAGAGCATGGTCTGTGCCATTCATACCTAATTGTAAACTAAATAGTATATTAAACGTAGTCAATTAATAATTTAAAAAATGCGACAGAGAGCATGAAGACAGCCAATTTCTCTCTCTTTCTCTCTTTCATTATAATTATTATATCTTTATCGTTGAACAGAAAGAGATAGAGACTGGCTGTTTTTGCATTCTGTCTCTCCTATTTTTGTCGAACAATTTTACACACGGATGACGCAGTCCTTGCTCTATGTCTTTGTTTTTGCATCCAGTTATCTTTTATTCCTGTGTTTTGTATGTAGGATGCAGTAACGCTAGGGAATTTAAATAACGCGCGCCATACATGATCGTCATTCGCCAATCAGCATTTCTCCTTTTCTAGAGACCCTATAATAGAATTATAAGATAGAAACTTTTGATTGGTCTTTCGTTTTTGTTGACTCAAATTCAGATTTCGACCTTATTAAATTCAGGTTGAAAGAAATAAAGAAATAAAGAAAAGATAATCATTTTTGCATGTTAAATATCAAATTTACTACCATTATCAAATGTTGCATATTTAATGAGGAAATTTTTCGCGTTGTTCAAACTGAATGTTTATAGTTTGCATTTTTCTTCTTCTTCATGAAATTTATCCAATTTCTTCTGCACATTATTTAATTCTATCTGCAGCGTTTTCATTTTTTCCTGCAAATCTCTATTGCTTTTCAATTATTTTTATAAGATTTCTAATCTTTTTGAAAAGTGATATAATAATAAGTGTACGCATCTGAGCGCAACGCAACGACAGACAATTGGCCGCCGCTTTTTGGTGCGTCGCAGCGGCCGATAGGGTGCGCGCGAAGCAGCGAGACGCGGAAAATCACCAGCGGAGACCATGAGAATTAGCGAGGTTGTCGCCATATCCGTATTCCATTACTCGGAGAAACACTGCTAGCACGTGGCGTGTGCTCGCAGAAAATTTGCCGCAAGTTCGTCACACGGCGTGCCGAAAGTCTTTTCAGGAGTCCACGGGCGAAGTGCACGATCGATCGCAAATCAGTCGCGGTCCTGCGAAACGTTAATAACTTCGGTAAGTAAATCCCGGCGGGTCCCATCCCATGCTTCCCCTTCGGCTGATTCGGCTCGTCTCTATATGTATGCGGCTACCGTCTTTTTGTTATCTACCTCCTTCCGGCAGCTTGAAGGGCTGAAAAGTACGGAAATATAAGATTCTAGTAACGAGAGCAAACATAGTCCGTACAGCCGGCGGGATCGATAAGCGACATGAATACTAAAAGCAGATACCCGTATGTTTCAATTCGAATCAGTTATATACATACATAATATCGGATTCTTCTTCCCTTCTCCTTCCCTCCATCTTGCGACACATATATAATGCAGAGCTATGTGTTATGCTTCAATTATCGTTTCCTAGATGTGTCTTATGGGTAGTTGGTGTGGTATACGGAGAATTTTTTTGTTTACATTTTTCTTATTTTTTATTTTGTCTCAAAATTCTTATCTATATTCTCTTTATACGTAGAATAGCTAATCGAACACTGTAATTTTAATATGATCATATGATCATTTTGTATATATGTGATAGGCCATAGAATATATAAATATGTAAAATTAGATATAAATATTGTGACGGGGGACCGACGCTGTTCTGACACAATATATATAAAATTATGTTGATTATGTAGATACTCATATGTGATAATTTCTATATACAAATAAATAAATGGTTATATGTTGAACAAAATGCAAGTAACGGTTTTATTTCTATGTATGAATTATCTAATGTCTTCACATATATTTATTCAAAAAATCTGCACTGTTTACGCTTTTTAACATTGTGTAAAAATTTATTTCAATTAATAAATGAATTTTCTGCTGATTATTTTTTTAGCATATTAAATGTTGTTTTTTTAACAAAAAGAATTAGAAAATACTAATTAAAAATACATAAAAAATGTCAAAAATTATTAGAAAAAAGTTTTTGTATATTTAATAAGAAAAGAGTATAGAATCTCTTATTTTCTCACGTAAATTCATATTTTTTCAGTGTATTGAAATATGTATATTATTTGTTTCTCTTTTGTATTATATGGTATAGTTTTATAGAAACTTTTTTAGATAAGGCCATAATTATTTTTTATTTCCATACATGTTCAATTTGACTTATATCTAATGATTGTTGAGATGCATAAGTAACTTACTAATAATTTTTTTTGTATAGTATATTAGGAGAGATTCTTCCAATATATAACTGTAAATATAAAAAGCGTTTTAGTAGGAGATATATTCTTTAAGATTGCATTTTATAATTTAAATTATCTATTAATACATCAATATCAAGCATTGTCTTTTATATAACTAATCAGATCTGGAAATATTGAATTTTGACATTCGTCATAGAATAAAATTGAATGAATTTTGAAGTTTTATGTGGCCTTTTAATTGCATTTTTCGTAAAATCTATACATTTTATTCTTTTCTGACTAATAAATTTTTTATTTTTCTTCATACTGCGTAATTATTATACCTACTTTTAACATTATTTTATCTATAACTTTAATGTTATAATTGTATGATTATAACATTAAAGTTATAGATAAAATAATGTTAAAAGTAGGTATAATAATTACACAGTATGAAGAAAAATAAAAAATTTATTAGTCAGAAAAGAATAAAATGTATAGATTTTACGAAAAATGCAATTAAAAGGCCACATAAAACTTCAAAATTCATTCAATTTTATTCTATGACGTTTTTCTCAGTTTATATATACAAGTTTAACACATAGCATATACATTATTTTTAAATGTCTTATAAAACTGTACGCTTGTATTGCATTTTTAATTATTGTGAATGACATATAAAAATTTTCAATTTGTGTTATTGAATTCACTATATCTCATATTATAGAATAAAATTTATTTTTCCGCAATTTTTTTGGTGATTGTCTTTGCTTTATTATTCTATAATCAACTCACGTATTGGAATTGACATTCTATGTGTATCAAAATTATTTCGAACTTCATTTATCTCTCTACCAATACGAAAGTAATATAAGATAATACCTGTGTACTTTGACTTGATTCATATTTATTTACATCGTATTATTTTCATTCGAGTTATGCACCTATTACAAGATGAATTTGTTTTATTTTAACATATTTGTGTATGAAAATTAATTATTTTTTATCATTTGGAATGTGATGTCACTCATAGAAAATTAAAACTTACCTGTATATATCAGCTCGTGCCGTCCCTGATTCATGTGTAACTTAAAACCCTTATTAGTCCAAAAATGCTATCATTTCAAAATCATTCAGACTTGCTTTTGCCAGAAAAGAATTGCTTTTTCTGGTGTAAAAAATTTTATCGTGCATTCCATGTGTGTGATTTCTGCAACATATTACGTATAAACTTACATTTTGATATCTGTAAGATTTGCACGAATCAAAACTTTAATCAATATAATGCATAGATTTCTACTCCATTGATACAGACTGAATTGAGGTAGAAAATGCAACAGTAATTTTAGCTTCACTTAAATAAGAAAAGATTGATTTCGTATAATTTTTTTGTGGCTATCTTTTTTATTAATATTTATTAATTGTTTTATTTAAGTTTATGTAACTAATGCAAAGATAAAAATTTTTTAGTTTTTAAAAACGGGATTTTTCAGTTTTGAAAATACGATTTTTTTAAGTTTTGATCATAATATGATAGTGAACATAAAAAATCTTAATGACTTATTTTTGTACGCTAAGTTAAAGATTACGAGTTGGATTCCAGGATTTGGTTTAGTTTATCAAGTTACCGCGATTTCCGCCTTTCCTCTTGATGCTTTTATTCAGTTTTATTCGCACCGGTTACCTCATTAGTCTCGCGGCAGTGCAGATTCAACATTCCGAGAGCACGTCGAACCAGTATGCGTTGTTTGACCTATAACGTGTTAGCATGTTTCTCCTGAGTCTGTTTCCCAATTTTTTTATCCGAATAAATCATCAATTCTTAAAGAAGAGATGAATTAATCTTAAATGATAACATAATATTCGTCACACATGACAAAAGAGTCTTTCAGCGGAAACATGCATAAAGCTGTACTATCAGCTACTAAAATTTGCTCAGTGAAACTACTCTTAGTATTCTTTTAATAACTGCGCTAAAAAAATTACTTTTCTTTCTTTGTATGCAAAAAGAAATTACAAAAAAAAACATAAAAGGAATACATATTTTTATTCTATCTTTATTCTTTTATCATACTATAATTTTTCTATGCAGTTTCAATTCGTTTTATAACGAACGATTCCGCATGTGTAATTTTTTCTTGTGTTTGTTTTCCTTTGAATGTTTTTCTTTTTTACACTATGGAATGCCGTAATCTAGCTTGTTTCGTTTTTGTTCATATTTTTCACTTGCAAAAGTAATTAAGGAGTTGAAGTCTTTGCTTTTTGAAATTTAAGCCAGTAGCACATAATTTCTATTATTTCAAGCGTGTTTTGCCACTGTTGTGTAATATGGGTCTACTCTCTATTTGTTTATTATTGAAGAAACGTTTAATCTGATCTCCAAGCATGTAATAAATATGTACTATACTCAAAATCTTGAAATCTTACTTTCACCCACTAGAGTTTAATCGCGACAGTTCCCGTAGATGAATTATATTGGTGGATGAGTTTTTCACTTATATTACATTGATATTATAATGTGAAATTTCTGGTAAAAAATGATTAATAGTTTCTCATCGGAATCAGTTTAGTTACTCCGCTTTAAATATTTATTTTGACTGTACTAGTAGTTACACCAGAATATTTCTGTATTTGCAAACTTTTCTTGGTAATATATTTTTTTCATCGATTTAGTGCATCGATAAAATTTGGCTAAATTTTAAGAGCATTTTGTGTGCTCATACATATTCCGTTGAACATGTGTATGAGAGTCATGTCGCGCCGGTTTAAACAGTGATAATTTTTTGTTTTGTTTGTTTCTGTTGACCTAGAAATCATATCGGCCGGCCAACTCATGCATCGCTATTGAGATAACAGTAAAATCATTAATAAAAATGCAATTAGGTCCAACATCAAATGACTATACTCTAAAAGGATCGATTTCTATCTTGACAAAGAAAGATAAAGGAAATTTCAAAATATTCTTTATTAGTTGTTTTCATTCGTGTTACTTTTGCACGACCCTATACATTATCAAGGCTCTTGATCACGGTGTGAATGCCATCTTACACGATCGTGCCTGCGTAACCGGCGAACGGTTCCAGTTCGACTGGTCCTCTCGGCGTGAGACCACGTGTTGAAAATCTGCGATGTAGTACAACTCCAGCTGGCAGCGATAGCATGTGTTCACGTAATTAATCTCCAGGTTAATTTCGACGCGTGTTGCCTTGGACTCACTTTAGGATATTATAATACATATTGCGTAGTGTTATCATCTAACATCACATCCCTTAGTGATCAAGATGAAATATTTCGTATACGCGAGAAGTAACTGTTATTATCGCGTCCAGCTGGAGACGTTTGATCGCAGATCGATACGTTAATAATGTAAGTAAACAGCACGAGATGTTTCAATGTTAGATTTATAATTAAAATTTAGATCTTTGAATTTCTAGAGTCTTTTGTTTTTGTATTGTTAGATATCTGTGAAATAATATCTTAATAATGACATAAGAAGTTTCGTTTCATTACTTTTTGATGATATAATCCGATATTTCGACGATTACTTTGCTGTCGGACATTTGACATAACGAAATATTCGATTGTTCTGCGTTGTTTTTGCCAAATGATAACTCAGGGATATATTTATATATAATCTTTAAAATGTGTGTATGATAGCGATAAATTAAAAACGTATTTTTTTTTAATAATTCAGACATTTAAATATTTTTAGATATTTTATTAGTAGATGTAGCGCTTATTATATATATGAAACTTCCTAAAGTGCTCTCTAGGTATGAGAGTTTACTTTTTTTTTTGCAAATATTTCTAATCTTACATATACTGGTTCATAATAGGTAGAGTTTAACAGAGTTGATTATAGAAATAGGACATTAGAAGATTGCATAGAATTTATGATCTATATAAATCTTATTGTAATGTAATTAATTCTAATGGAAGCTTTATATTTCATTAAAATTAGAATTCCCATTTTAATTCTAATGGAAATTAAAATGTATTTAAAATAAGATTTATATTTTATTAGAATTAGAATTTTTATTCCGATGTGTAAATAGACAAATTAATTGCCGTGCGGAAGAAAGGAATGGAATTCCACGTCGGCACATCGTCTCGTTTTACACAGAGTGTTTTCGCTGATCAGCGGGTGTTTATTTAGCATTAAGCAGAATAGATTTCCATTCCTTCGTTCATTCATCGTTGAGGATAATAAAATTATATCTTTGTTATAGTTTTTAAGAAATTTATGTATATATAAAATACCTGTATAAAATAATTATCGCTTAAATATTTGTTGAAATATAGCGATTCTAAAGCTGTTGTATCTACCTCGATTTCAGTATCAGCGAATTTCCAGTAACGGCAGCTACCGTGGACACGCACAATGAATTCTGCGATTCATGTTCAGCTAGCAAGGTGGTCAATCCCGGCGGTAGCTCTTGCCGTCGCTCTCTTTTGGTACAAACGCCGTCGGATAGACAGAGGTGAACTTCAGTGGAATGACTCAGGGGGGACGGCAAAATCGAAACGCGTAGAAAAGGCGATTTCAAATGATAAGCAGGAGTTTGACACTAGCGTCTACGACGTTCAGGAGATTAATCAGGAATCCTCGGTTGGTTGCTGCTACACGCTACAGGAAGAGTCGACTCGCGTCTCAAGGAAGGTCAGCGAGAGCACGACGTTAGAAAATACAATGTCGCAATTTGATTGCTGTAGCAGCAGCCTGATCAATCACGCTGAGGACGCTGAGACGACACGCAGTACTGCAGTACAGTTGGACAGTAATTCGAATGCGAGTTGCTGTAAGGACATGATCGCCGCGAGCGCATCCTCCGAGTGCGTCGACGAGAACGTCGACAATGAAACGAAGATATCTCAAAGCGTCCCTAGCGAGGAGCAGACTGTACATCGCGAGACAGAGCCGTCTGGGCAAAACTACACGGACCAATGTAACTGCCAGAAGGATGGGCAACAATCCGAGGGACACACTGTCAGAACTCAGGGACAGGTGGTCGACGAAAGGGACTCGGCCAATCACAGCCCGGTTTCCGCGGTTCTGGACGGCAGCGTCACGGACGAAGCCGGGAGCGAAGGAAGCAATACGGATAGCGGAAAAGGTAAATATTCATATTATTGTCAGCAATGAAATATTCCGTCTATCTAATGTACTCGTATTATATTAGTAGAATCATAGAGTCATCGATTTTGTAAAGTTAATGAGCTATTATTTCGTTCTCTCAAGATTTAGAGAGTGACGAACAATTTTTATTTTCTCGTACAGGTGGGAGTATCAATGGATGCAGGAAAAACAACGTTGCACCATCCACGTACGAGTTTGCAATACCGCAACATCTGGTGGGCAGGTTGATCGGCCGTCATGGTAGCTTTTTACACAGTATCCGCACAAAGGCGAACGTCGGTATATACGTTAATGATCACCCTTGCGATGGCGATCATAAGATTTGCTCGATACGAGGCAGTGTTGAGGGAATTAATGTCGCGTTGAAAATGATAAGGCAGAAGTTTCCGGAGAAAAGGTTTCCGCAAGTGACATTGGCGGAGATTTCAACGGTATCCGAGGTGAATGAAGAAGTTGCATACAACGTCCTTGTACTGCGGCCTCTGTCCCTGGTTGATGGCATTAATAATGACATCAACATCTGTCATATTGTCAAGCCGAACTGGCTCTTCGTACGGCTTCCGACTCATCCGTCATTTCCTCTTTTGCAAAATTTAGAAGACAGCATGAATTATTGTTATAACACAGAATCGTTATCAGTTCCGGAAGTAGCAAACAGTAAGTGATACATAATCTTAATGCATTGATATTAATAAGAAGCAAAATCAGGACCATGAAATATATTGCTTTGCAGAGGGCGATTACGTGGCTGTATATTGGAGCTGCAAATGGGTTAGAGGATGTATTGAATGTCCAGATCCATCGGGAGAGAAAAACGTAGTACGATTACTGGACTACGGTGGTTACTGGCAGTTTAGCAATTCGGAATTCAGGCCATTGCTATATGATTATTTGAGCTTACCCTTCCAAGCGATCGAAATTTTTTTAGCAAATATTCAGCCAAAAAATGGTAACTATACGTATTATGTATATTCTCTTTTCCAGATTGATTTATATATCTATTCATTCAAAATTATTTCAAATATATATAATTTCATACATTATTCATACAGGTAAATGGTCTTCAGAAGCTTACAATGTGGTACAAAATTGTTCCTTAAAGGGAGTTGCTCAAGCGCAGATTGAAGGTCGCATTCAAAGTAATATTTATGCAAATATTTATTTTCTTATACAAAATTATGGGGTAAGTAGTTAGTTTATTCGGTCTACAGTGATCTCTTTGTAGAGACATTTCTGGTGCACAAATTAATTGAAATTATTCGAATTTTTTCTTAAAGGTAATTTCTCTTACTCAAGAACTGTTAGAGAATGGACACGCTGAAAAAGTAGCATGGGAGCAGATGAAGCCAGAAACACTTGAATCCATATGCAATATACATCCATATACAACATAAAAGTTGTAACAAATTTTACAGTTTTCAGATTTCCTATCGAATCATGCATAATTCGCGGTTCTTAGTCAGTACGGACTAGAATTTAGTATCGTCATTAGTAGCCCCCTTCTTTAATCGTGTCAAAATTGATTATTTTGCTTTTTGACGTAGTCCTTGTGTACTTTTTCTTTATTGAAATTGCTGTGAATACTCTGACATATATATTATACCTAATGATTGATTAGCTACATAGAGATAGAGTAAATAACGCAGTATATCTATATCACCATTCTGATAATGAACAATGAGACTATATATTTCGCTGTACAGAAGACAGATATTTTTGTCGCGTTTGAGTAGCATTTAGTAATCCCTTAACATGATTGCTCAGAAAAAAGCGCATTCTGTAAGCACAAAACTCGTTGTTTCAAACGAGTTCTGACAAGTACAAAATATTTGATTTAGCCTGATAACGTATAAGAACCTTTTTTTTTTACAGCAACTCTCCGAATTGCGTATTATCGCCCGTGATATTTTCTCTTTTATCTGGAAAACTGAACTTTTCATCGATCAATGTTATTGCGCAAGACAAATCTTTCAGATAATTTTGCATAAATGTTTCGGGAAACTTCGTTTCGTTATCTTAGTGCCTTGCGACTGTAAAGAAGATGCAACCGTGCTTAAAACTCTTCTACATCCTCATATAATGTATATATTGTAAAATAATCTTCCGATTGTAGAATATTTATATTTAGAAAAGGAGAGGAATTTATAAAGGTTCGTAGTATAGATCGTAGAGTAGAATAAACAGATAAATTTGCATTTTACAAAGTAGTGTCACATCTAAACTAAAAAAGAAACATTGTAATCGAATAACTCAGACGAATTAGGAAATTCGTTTCTACGTGACTCATATCCTTTTCTGATTGGGGACGATTCGAGAATCCATTGAATTATGAAAACTTAGTTTCTTCTCTCACGTTAATTCTATATCATTGTAGATTAAACTTGTTACCGCAAGAGTTATTGTTAAACGTCGCATTTCCTTGAATGTCCTACGTTATCTTCTCAAATTAAAAATTCGAAGGTTGCTCATTCATTTAAGTAGAGATTTGTCTTTCAAACTTTATTATTTTTCCAGTAATTTGTATTCTGCGCATCTTCACTATCGTGGCATAAAATTATTTTTATTTTATGCTCGCTAATTATTTTTGTTCAAGTAATTTCAGAGATTTTTGGCGTTTCAAAAAGACTAAGCTTTTGGATAAATTCAAACGCACGCATGTAACACTGTATATATTTGTTTAGATATCGATTTTTAGATCGGTTTTTGCGCGATATTCTAACATGTCTTTTTCTATGCAAGATTTCAGTGCTGTAGAAATTAGTTAGCTGAGAAAAAGTATAAAATGTTTTGTCACTCGTTCATTGCGCTCAACTGGAAACGATTGGCAGTTATGAAATATTATAATATTTAATATTGTTGATTGAGCATAATATAGAAATATTTTTCTAGGAATATATACATGTAAGGTTACAAACATTAAATCAGTTATACATGCTTTCTCGTGCGCTGCAATTAACTCGATTTATTATAATTTATTATAATTCTTCAAGAAAATATAGCGACAATGTGGCGCAACGAACGTCGTTACGTAATGATCATTCGTAATTCTCTTGTGTATATAATATGTAGCTGGACCGCAATTTTTGACTATTCAAATTTTGTACAACACTTCATTTAGCATCGTATTAATCATTATATTAATTGAGTAAATTTAAAGTAGCTTTTGTATATTTGTCAATCTTTGAAGATTAGATTTGCATCAATTTTTACCGCCAATTTCTCTTACATCTTTTATACATGTTCTGTAAAATGACGGGATAAAAAGTAACAGCAAAAGAGAACAGTGTTATGCTAAAGTTTAAGCCATTGTTTTGTATTGTATAGCAGAAATAAAGATGTCTGTAAATAGCTAACTTATAATTGTACTTACAAAATTTTTCACCCAATTTTGCTAATTTATGAAATGAATAGGTATGTGTTTTTTGGACATTAAAATCATATATTTTCCAGATTCGGCATGAAAATTTCTCGTTCAAGCATATCACATCTGAGTATGTTGCTTAAAAGATCAAAAGAGCGATAGGCTTATCAATTAATGTAATTTATTATTATAGTCTAACTTATCTCTTTAATCTGTATTTGTTTTTTTTTCTTTACAAATTGTCGAACACAATTCCTAATAACAAAATAACGTACGATGTGTTCGATTCGAAAGTGCCCAATTCGAAAGCGCGAAAGGCATTTAGAATTCTAGAGAGAAATTTTACATGTATAATGTATGTATAATTTACATATAGTTATACATTCTGCTTGATATGTATATGTAATAATTCTTTTCTACTAGATCTTTGTACTACACACAGAAGAGTTATGTTTATGCGTTTTTTTTTAACGAAACGTTTATAATTAATTACGTTAGATATAGAAGAGGAAAGGTGAAATATATAGATAAGAGGACGAAGCTCACGAAACTCATTACGTGGCAGATAGCGCTGTTCGCTGTTCTTTCGAAATTCACAGCCTAGCTCGTTTATTTCGAACGAAAAAAATATTCTCCTATCTTGCTTTGTCCGCGACACGTGCTGCGACTGCTGCAGTCGCTGCGAAACGCGGTCGCTGGGTCAACAACAGCTGACAGGGTCGACCGGTCGACAGTGTCGCAGTGTCGCGGGTTGGCGGCGGTAGAAGAGGATATCTGCGCATTTCTTCGCGTGCACCGTGTTGATGTGCCGCGGTACGGTACTCGAAGACTTTCGGCTGCCCGGCGGAAGACGCGGCTTCCCACTTTTCCAGTCGGTCGGACCTGGTCGGACCGATCCGCTGCGATCCGAATGCGTTTGACGCGTGTGCTCTGACATGGTCTCCCTTGGAAGTCGCAAGGAGAGCCGGCACTCCCGCGTACTGTGGCCGGTGATCCTGAGTGCCTGCGCTATCCCGATCTCGATGCTCTTCTGGATAGTGAACGTGGCCTACTCGATAATGTGGCCGGACACCGCCGACCCGACGACGGAAGGTTTCGTATACACGATTTCAAATTGCGTATTTAGGGGTTAGAGGAGAGATGTGCATTGATATATACATATATGTATATATTGATACACGTGCGCCGAACGAATTCCATTAGATTATTTGCGTTATGTCGCGGTTTATTTTAATATGGATATGGAATGATTGCGAATACGGTTTTCCAGAATAGGTTAGAAAAAAAGACTAAATCTGCTAAATCATAGCTTTTTGCATCGTTTTGCGTCGATTGTATATAAAGAACTGTGGATGTCGTGTATAAGGGAATACGATGATAAAAATAACATCAATCCCGTAATCTAACAATATAGGACAAATTCTTGTGAAAAAAATTCTCACATTTCGTAATATTTTTATGAATTTTTTATATTTTATATTTATTATATATTTTTTTAAATATTTTAAACTTCCTGAGATTTTATAAATTTTCTCTGAAAATTGTAAAGTGAAATATTTTAGAATATTTCAAGATTTTCTCACATATATTACATAAAGAATTGTAAAAAAAATGTAGAATTTTTTGACATGAAAATTATTCAATTCATATATAAAAAAAAATCTGAGAAATTTTCTAGAACGTCATAAAATTTATATAGAAAATTATATGTGAAGAATTAAAAAAAAAATATTTATCTGGGATATACGTCGATTATATAACGTTTCTTTCTTGCGCAAGGAAAACTTTCGATGTTCACGAAATAATTAGAGAAATCGATCTTGATATAATAAAGTAAGGCTCTTTTGTGTTTTTCGGCCAATGTAGTAGGTATGTACTGGCAACGTCATTCAATGTCATTCATAAGAATTTGTCCGTATATAGGTACACTATATACATACATACGAGGTTGTAAATGCGTGAATCGGTATATGAGTATCGAGATGTATTCAAAGCACGTATTTTCTATTGAATATTCCTGGTGAATATTCGCGACTGTTAGTTTTTCGAAAAATATTATTACCATTTTTATTGATTATTATCTGTTATTGGATGAATTCTCTGTCATTAATTCCCGCGGCTTAGCTGAAATTAATATCTTTTTGTTATTTATATAACTAGTTTTTGTCTTTATAGCTTAGACATTGTATAAATTAGAAAATAGTGTAAATTAAAATGAATTAAATAATGAATCTTCAATTTGTATGTTACAAAATTAATAAATTGTAAAAACTATAAAATTTTTTTAATTCGTCCTGCGGCTCCGTTATAAATGAAAAAAATGCGGAATATATGCCACACAAGAGGAAAAATACAATGACATGCATTTTCTTATGTCGTCGAGTCATTTAATATGAATGATTAAAAAATTGCTCATGTATAATTATCGACGTTTTTACCTATCGAATTATCAAAACAGACAATTTGGTGATACGGTGCGATATGGAAAACTGGGCGAAGCATATCGACGACGCATATCGAGATAATCGACATCGGTGAAAAATACGCAATATTTAAATATAGTAATACAATTTTGTTTTTTTTTGTCAAGAGCGTTATTCAAATAGTAATATTAATTTAATTTTTTTTTTTTAAGAGCGTTACACGAAATATAAGAATAATTTATATCTTTTGTGATTTTCTGAATAAATTTTTAAAAAGTTATTGTATTTTTTAATGCGCACACGTGTAGTACTGTGCGAAATACTTCATCATTTCCATAACTCGTTTGTTTATGTATAATTAACTTTTTGTTTATGCCTGCTTCCACCACTGTAGATTAACTTGAATCTTGGTGTTCAAATTACTCTTTATCTTTTTCTAATTTTTAGAACTAGGGCTATATTTCAAAACGTTGCTTTTGAGAAAAATTTTACTAAAAAGCTACAGTTTACGTTACGTATTCTATAGTTTTTTAGTAAAACGATTAGTAATTAGAATAGGCACTCAGAGTCAATAACGCGGTGATTGGTGGCTAATTTAATTTTTAAATATAATATTCTCCAATACATCGAACGTTTCTGCCTTTTTCAGATCTTTCTCAGCGATAGTTACAAAAACTCTTACATTAAGCGTTTTTAATGTAAGAGTTTTTGCAACTATCGCTGAAAAAGGCCTGAAGAAGGCAGAAACGTTCGATGTATTGGCAAATATTATATTTAAAAATTAAATTAGCCACGCACCAATTATCACGTTATTGACTCTGAGTGTTTATCCTAATTACTAAGCGTTTAAATTTAAGAGTCTTATATATTATTGAATTTTTAGTAAAATTTACTTCGAAAACAACGTTTTGGAACGTAGCCTAGAAGATCGAGAGGAGAATAACTTGAACCGAGATTAAAGTAAATCTATGTTGAAAACATTAAATACAGCATTAATCGATTTTTGTTTCTCTATAGTTTTATCTTATCGCTCGTAATTATAAATTTAAATAAAATTGAAATTTTTAATTTCCGTTTGCACTTAATTTTTTTTCTTATGAAACCTTTCTACTAATCTTACTGCGATGGCATTATAGACAGGAGTTAAATACGCACGAAACATTTATGCAACGAAAGAAAATGAAAAAAAATGTTATATGTATATTGTTGTGTTGTGAAATCAATATTTTAATGTATTTTTTAAAATAAATGATATAAGAGAGTTTACGAAAAAGTTATTGTATAACCATTATCTGTTAGTCAATCTACTCGCATATAGCCGATTACACGAAAGTCAATCCGCAGATTGAATAGAATGTTTGAAAATTTATCATTTTTATTGCACTAAAGCTAATTTTAATAACTACTTCACGTAATTTCTTAAAAAATTGACATTGAAAACTATAAGAAGAAAAGGATTTTCTATGGAAAATATTTTGTAAAAAATACAGAATTTTTTTAAAGTGTGTATAAAATTTTATCTAAATTACGTAACATTTTTTCATTCATCACATATAATTTGCAATCGAATCTAAATGGTGATATTTCTACAATCAATTTTATTTTTATTTTAGAACACTCGGTGATCTCACCATGGAGATGGCTGGCTGCAGTCGTACTTCCACTTATGTTCGCGTTTTGGGGTTTACGCAGAAAAAGTCTGGATGTTAGCGGTGGAATTCTTGGTAGTGAAACGTATATAATTTGTTGCGATATAAGAAAATATTTAAGATATGTTGAGTCACTAAATAATATAAAAAATATTTAATCATGTGTTTATACATATGCTAAAATCAGAAAAAAATGAAGGCCACTTTTACATTCATATAATTAATTTAAATGAAATTTATAAATAAAAATATCTTTATTCTGTTCGAATTGTATTTTGAAATTATATTTTAATTAAGAATCATTATTTGTTTAAAAAATATTAATTGTGTCATTAACATATCTGTATACTATTCTAGTGTGCGCTATCATTTTTAATGCAATTAAAACATGGATTGTATAAAAATATAAAATTAATATTTTTATACAATTTACCTGTAATTGTCTATGTTATTATTTGTTAAAGCTATAAAAGTGTGTCATGAAATTATAGATTTTCGATCAGATTTTATAATATCACAATATAAATTAATTTTTATGCTTTTTATTTTAGGCTTTTTTATGGGCTTTATCCTGACACTTTCGAGTTTCGCTCATATGATGGCTCTCATAGCGTTCTTCGTCACTGGTTCAAAGGTAACAAAATTTCGATCTACTCGAAAGAAGAAACTCGAAGTTGATTTCAAGGAGGGTGGCCAACGGAATTGGATCCAGGTGCTGTGTAATGGTGGCATGGCCACGCAATTAGCTTTACTATACTTATTGGATGCCGGAAGCGGAGAGCGACCAATCGACTTTGTTAAGGAATACCGAAGCTCGTGGTTGTCCATTGGGATAATAGGTAACAGTTAATATTCTAATATTATCTTGATAGAAATTAAAATGCTGCTGTAAAAAATTTTATTGAATTTTAAATACAATTTACAATTTTGCATTTTACAGGAGCGTTCGCGTGTTGTAACGGTGACACGTGGGCCTCTGAGATTGGTACGGTAATCGGCACGAGTGACCCTTTCCTCATCACAACGAGGAAAAGAGTCCCGAGAGGTAAGAATGATGGTCTTTTGTGATAGATTTTGTTTTATTTCAATAAGGCAAGCCCTACATGTATATATCTGTACCTATGTATATGTATATATATATATATAGATATATCTAATTCGCAAATGGCTAGTAGAGAGGTTGGCTATCGTTTTACAATAAAACGATGATAAATGAATATAATTAACATGAGCTTTTTACACTTCAAGGAACGAATGGTGGTGTATCGTGGATAGGTCTGGTATGTTCTATCGTTGGCGGTTTAGTAGTCGGACTTTTCTATTACATTATGATATTAAACACCGTTGACATAGCTGTACTGCAATTAGCAGCACCACAATGGCCTATTGTAGTTGTCGGGGCATTCGGAGGTCTCTTTGGCAGCATCTTAGATTCTATTCTCGGCGCGACTTTACAGTATTCAGGTAATGCAAATATACTTTCCGATTTCGTTGTTTTTTAATAATTTTATAGTCAGAAATTTCTGGATAGTTTCATCAAGTTAGTTTCAAATTAAGCGGATGAATCGGTTTGTTATGTGATAATTAACGCATTTTTGTTTTTAGGAGTGGATGAAAAGGGTATTATAGTGGAGCGGCCAGGGAAAGGTGTAAGACACATTTGTGGTAAACAGATCCTAGATAATCATAGTGTAAATCTTCTTTCTACTATTGGTATCGCACTCATACTTCCGAGATTAGCCAATATGTTCTGGCCATAAAAAGTTCATAAAAAGATCTGTTCCAGAGATCTATTTAAAAACAAAATGTTCTAATATTGCATTTATTATTCTATATTTAAACAAATCAAATTGTATATCGTGTACATTTCTATGCTACTCTATTTAGGAATAAAAATGTTATATTAGAGGAATCAAACAAAGGATCTTCCTTAAGATTATTTTTATCGTACTATCAATTTTTAATATAATAAATATTCTAAAATAGCAATAATTTAAATATTGATCATTTTCAGTAATGTACTATTTCATAAATTATGTATAATATTCAATTTTTAATTAAGGATTTGTTTAATAAATATTGATTATGTCTATATCTTTATGCTATTCTGGTGTGCGCTATTATCTTATGTAATTAAAACATGGATCGTATAAAAATATAAAACTCATATTTTTATAATTTACCTGCAGTTGTTTACATTATTCGCTAATGCTAAAAGTATTTCTTGCATTCAAAATAATATTGGAACAAATTTCTAGATTTTCTTTTACTATTTTCTCTACATCTATAATATAAGCGTTTTATTACTTTGATGTTCTAATAAAGGCTTGAATAATCTGTATAATTTGCACTTTATAATGTACAATATACATGTAATATATTTTAAGATATACAGAATTATCGCATTTTCTTTAGAAATTTCAACAAAATTGCAAATATATAGTCTAATAGAATAGACATTGTTTTATTCAACAATAATTCTTTTAATTTTAAAGTAAAATAAAAAATTGCATTTAGAAAGAAAATTATACATATGTGTATGTATGTGAGCGAAATACTTTCAACATTCTAATAAAATTTATAAAAAGTATCTAGAATTAACCAAAGTTAAATATTTTAATTTATTTATACTTTTAAAGATTAATAGTTAAAAGTTTTTTGATGTTATTCAGTTGAAAAGAAATGCGATATTCTTTAATGTAATATGTATAATGCCTTTTATGTCTATATAATATTAAAATTACATTATTAGAAATAAATAATACAATGTCTATGTATATATAAACTTGATACATCTCTTTTTAATTAAATAATTTTATTTTATTAAAAATAAAAAATAAAATCAGAAATTTCTTTAATTGTGTGTGTATTTAATTTCATATTCTAATAAAATATAATTCGTGAAAAATAGCAAATTAAAAAAATATAAATACTAAATATTCTTCACACATTTGCAATTGAATCTAATTGTGAGTCCAAATTTCGTCTTTTCTACATTATTAAATTCATCTTTTGTATATTATTCGATGCGAATATAGATATGTATATTACAGAATTTCGAAACATGATTGAGTGTATAAGTCAAATTTTTATATACATACATATTTTAATCATGAAAATAAAGGACATCTCACATTTGTTGATTTAAAATTGGATAAAATAATTGCTTCATCTATTGAAAAAAAACATGTTGGTAGAAACGACTTGTGAATAAAATGACAACCTTCTAACACGCATGTTAATATTGGTTATACTATAAAAAAATTAATTTTAATTTATTTTGTATTTGATGCAAAATATTAAATAAAGTCAATGAGATGTCCTGTATATTTCTATTAAATTTATAAGATTATAATAATTATTAACGAAAAATAAGACATTTTTATATTACTATTATACGATTTAAGTAACAGTAGGATTGTTTGATTAACTAACTGTTACTTATGCCTTTCTTTATAGAAAGCCAGAACATATACATTATTGTATACATATATAATATTTACAGGATACATGCAATAAAAAGTATCTAATGAAATCGAAAAATCACAGCAACATTTAAAACAGAATATACTATCGTGTTTTTTCTGAATCGGTATTTGATCCATAACTAGTTGCTAAAATAAATTTAAAATTTAATTCCAAAAAGACAAGATTGGAAAAGACAAGAAAATTTATTATTATAAGTTCTTTCACAGACTATGAATTTAAAAATTAAAAATACGAAAACATACAAGCTTATAAATTTCATCTAAAATTTTATCTATTTAATTTATTTATAACTAGATCGAAGAGGTCTAGAATGCACTTTCCTCGAAAGAATAAATTCATTATTGTCAGCTTCTATAGCTGAGCTATTGATATAATTTCTTATACAATATAAATTTTATTATGACTTACTTCTGTTCTACTACGTTTAACTGGAATGAATAAAATGATTAGTTTTTCTGTACCTGCATATATATGTGTATATATATATATATATATATAATTACATGCAGTTACATGTAATTACTTGTGGGTACAATAAACCAAAGATTGCATTACGTTCTATTGCAGGGATTCCCAAAGTATGGGTTGCGTGCAAAGTGTTGCCAAACATTTTTAAATGTTAAATTCACTACATTATTTCGTGAAAATGTACAAACTTGCGTGCATGTGTCTTTTCACAACAATATATGTATGACATTGTATTTTCAATGATGGTAGAAGCAAAAAATCAATAAATTTCAAAATAAACTACAATTACCAAATTGGGTTTGTCTGAAAATGACTCGCATTTGATATCAACATTGTTATCAACAGAAATAAAAAACAAAGGCATTCTTCACACATACCTCATTCAACTCCTGTGCATTAGTCCTCCCTTCCCAATTTAAAAAATTTAATTTAAATCCACAATGTTCCAAATTTTTAATTTGCAGAGTTCGAAAACTTATAATTTATAATTCTGAGACGTTCTCTTTTTTTAATTCCGGGAGGGAAGGCAGCTGCACAAAAGTATCCTATTATATATCTGAAAAATAGATTTTATAAAATTGTATGTAATAAAAAATTAAAAAGATAGGAGTGAAGAGACTAATATAAATAATTTACTTCTTCTCCACTTTAAAGCTAGATAGATCGTGGATATTTGTTCTTTGATTGCCGTACGGATTTTTGTAATCAATTTCCTGGTGCCACATTATTATTTTTTTATATAATGTAATTTTAAATAATTTTTCACTTTAAATTACATTTTCTAATATATTGTAATTTTAAATAAATGTTTCATTTTACAGTACAAAAACATTTTTTAATAAAATGTTTTTTAATAAAAATCGTTCACAAAATTGACAGACTTCTCTAGAATTCACAATATATCATATAAAATTAATGCAGCGTTCTTATTTATATACAGATGGATAATAAATAGGAAATGAATAGGAATGTGTGTTAACGGTGTAAAATTGATGGTGCCTCGAATCCACGACATAAATGTGTATCCAATTAGGTACACATAGCAATCAAAGTATTAAGAAGTGGATCGCAATTTATACAAGTTTGGGAAGCCCTGATTTATTGAATACGAATATTGAAAGAAAAAAATATTATATAAAAAGCATTTCCATTGTCGAATATTGAAAAAAAATTGTACAAAAAATATTATGTAAACTTCATTGTCATATCAAAACATATTTCCTGCCGATTTTTGATAACTTTTCATTTAGACTGAGTCGCATATGCCCCGATTTTTGAGACTTATATAGTTTGGCTTACAATATATACAACATTTATAAGACTATAAATAATAATAATTATAATATATATGTAATATATATATATATATATATTACAATTATAATATATGTATATATATATATATATATAATTATAATTTATTATTATTAAAAAAAGATGTAGCAACTTTCCCACATGACTATATCTAAGCATTAATACATGATTTATCTAATATTTTGTGATAATATTAAGTAATAATGAAAATATCAAACGGCTTGAAAGTTCAAAGTAGGGCGCATACTCCTCACGCGGCAGGAAAACATGTTATAAAATATTGAATATAAGAAATAATATACAATTTATTGAATTATTAATAATTCGAAATATTTGTGAAATTACTGCTACCACTACCGTTTGTAACGACCTTTTATTAACTGCAACGCCTTTGCCATAAGTGGTGCTTTTGTCTTCTTCATGCTACTTGATGCTAGTAAGAACAATTATTGGTTAAAATAGATATAACGCATCAAACTTCCATAATACTAATTATAATCAAATTTTTAAAATACATACTTGATGCTTTAAACCGGGACATTGGCGGTGGTGGTACAGCAATATTTGTCGCGTTGTTAGTTGCACCACCGGCAGCTAATTTTTTCTTTACACTGGAGATAGTAGCAGGGGTGGCATTGGCTGTACCATATTTTGCCTGTTTTTTCAATACGTTGCGTGGTGGTTTCACGATATTATCCACATAAGCAAGTTTAGTGGATCTCACTGGGACGGATTTGTCTATAGATTGCTTAATATTGGCGGTGAGTGTTTTTAGTTTCGCTTCTCTCTCGTCCAAGCAGCGCTATTTAATGTTAATATGCATTATAACGTTAATAACGTTTGACTAACAATAAGACAAGTTTTTTAAGTTTTATTAAGTCTATTATATGAAGCTTTAAACACATCTTTGCGTACTTTTTCGTTATTGTTCTAGCTTTATAATTCTTAATTTATTTACCATATACATTTCACGCCACGACTCCATTTCCTGTCTCTCATTATTCCTGAACTCTCTATTACAATGATATTGCCATAATATGTCTGTGTCTTCTATGAGGTATGGATTGTGATGCTCTAACATAAATAATTGATCAGGCGTGGCACGTTCTAGAATCGGCTTTAATATATCATATGGTACACCGCCAGTAAACTCGAGTGCTAGTAATAAAAAAACATTCATTATTAGACGTTCAAATATTAATACATTAATCCCACCGTACAGTAAAGAAAAATGCTCACCATCGATATTTTCTATCAACACCCTGATGCACATTTCATATAATGTCGGCACGCTTGTGTAACCAACTTTGTTACCAGAATACACTTTTGTCCTAGAACAAGAATAAATAACGAAAATGGTATAATAATAGATATGTTAAGATAAAATATTATTTCATCATTTGTATTGCAACGAAGCGTAACTACCTTTGACTCTTATATATATAAATAATATCCTCAACAGGCTTGACTTCTTCTCGGCGTTGCATAGGATTAATGTATGGCAGTGGCTTGTAATTGGGACTAATTTCAGGTAATGTAGATGCCAAATCTACATTCAACGGTTCCAACTTTACATTCGGTGCTAAAAGGGATAATGGCTGAAAATCAAGGTTTTAATTGTTACAGTTAGTTTTTTTTTCTAATGTTAAAGATATTAAATAATAAAACATAAAAATTACATTTGGATTATCGTCGCATTCTGATTCTATTTTCACAGGTGGCATTTTTCTACTGTTAACGGGTGGCGACATCCGTTCCGTTTTAATTGATTTACTAGAAGTTGTATTGGACAAATTACTTTGACGCTTTTTCGATGGCTGAGGCATGGAACACATGCCAAGTGCTTCCGCAAAACTTGCACCTAGAAAGAATAGACATATGATGCCACGGTTGTGACTGATATTTATTATTTTAAATTTTTTCCAAATAAATTTTTATAAAACTAAAAATTGTTAATTATATAATTTTTAAAAATGTTCTGCACATTTACTTCTTACACTTAACTGCGTAATAACATTCGTTAATTTAACTGCATAGTTATTTACTATACTATACTATAAAGTAGTATTAATATTACATAGAACCGAATTCTATACAGAAAATTTTTAAATATAAATAATTTTTATTAAATATAAAAGAAATTCCAAAATATTGTATTAAGTTTGTTAAATTTAATTATTTCTTTTTATCATATAATTTGTTGTTTCTTAATAGCCTTTATCAATCATAAATGTTATAAAAATTGTATATTAATTCAAGATAAAATATACGCTTATCAATTCATACATTATTATTTATTTATTATACATATAAAAATTATAAAAAGTAATTTAATATTACAAAAAAGGATTCAAAAATGCAAAAGTATTTGAGAAACGATAAGAAATAGTAATAGAAATCTTACATAACAAATAAAAAATAAATTTTTATATGAATTCTATTGAAAAACTAAATTAATTAATATTCTGATTTTAAAGAATTTTTCGAATTTATGTTGTAATATTTAATCATTGAGAACAATTCAATTTGTGTCATTTAAGTGCAAGGCTAGTTTTGTAACATATACAAAACTGTCAAAAAAATATATAATTTGATGTAAATTATTCTTTTTTTGCAGTCAAATTAAAATTATTCTAACACACCAGAATTGCAATCTATTCCTTCGTCACCGTTTATTTCCTGCATTAACTTAATTCTTGTCTCTTTTTTCTTCTCGCGTTTATTCTTATCCTCCTTGTGCTCCCTTCTTTTATCCTTGTCTTTGTTTTTAATATCTTTACTACTAGAGGAACTGACTCTTGATTTGGAAGTTTCTTTGCTAGAATGATGACTGGAATCTTTTTTTATATCATGTTTTTTATGACTAGTATGCTCTTCTTTTTTATTCTTTTGTTTTTCACTGCTGTCCTTTGCTTTACTACTTGATTCCTGGGACTTAAGCTTACTGGAACTGCTTCTGGATTTACCCTGCAAATACTTCTCCTGTTTAATATCTTGCTTGTTATCAGTTGTTAAGAACTGTTCATCTTCTACTTTAATTTTCACCTCTATCTGAATTCCAGAAGATTTCAGATGAGAACGATTATGTTCCAAAACAGGTAGTTGAGATTTTTCATCATCACTTTTGCTATCTGACAACTTCCTCTTCTTGTTCTCCTTCATTAGGGAACTGGAGTCGATTGTTTTTCTTTTTCTATTATCCTCACTAATCTGAACAGTTTTATCAATAGTCTTTTTCGAATCATTACTTTTGCTATGACTACCATGCTTCATTGAGCTGTGAACTTCTTTACTCACACTACTTTTACTGGTTTTTGATTCTTTAGATCTTTTTTCACTATGCGAATGATGCTTGGAGGAATGCCTACTTTTTTCATGCATCTCTTGCTTTTCCTCAGTCTTAGACTTAGACACATGCACTACACTATGTTTCATAGTTAATGTATTCTTGTCCTCCTTATGCGTGTATTTTGATTCTGACGATTGATCAGAAGATATAGAAGAATCACTTTCTTCTATATTTTCTGGCTTTGGAGATTCGGTGGTGTCAGCATGAGCATCAATTACACCAGTTTCATCCTCATCTTCCTTCTCAACAGACTCTTCGTCATCGTCTATCACCATGTTCTTCCATTTGCAAACCAGGGACTTAGCGGCATCACCCACAGTACCATAGTATTTTCTCAACCCATTCACAGTTCTTCCTACACCTGTCTGTTGAAGATGCTGTACTGTCACAGGTAGCTTATATAGCTTTGAAATGCAATGTAATATCTGTGGAAACACACAACAAATTTATGTTCCTTTGGTACTGGTTATGAAGTACGTTAATATTTTAAAGCAAGTAATTCAATTTTCCTTCAACAGAAATTTAAGATTATGCCTAAATTAGTCAAACATCATAGAAAAATATAAAATAATTAAAAAACTTTATAAATATATTGCATCTATACATATGCAAGACATATGAAAATGTAATAGAATTTGAATAATCTCTACTTGAAGACATTGTGATTGAGATGGACTTGATAACAATTTCTATAATTATCCTCACTAGCATAAAAAATGTGTTACAATCTAAACATCTTTCAAGAATATACACTATTTATCTATAGCATGTTCACATTATTTATTGTCACATTATTGTTAGTAGAAATCATGAAAAAGACATTGTGCGCTTGCAAGAAAAATTTCTAAAAACAATGTAACACGAAGTATATATGCTCCAAAAAATGATTTTTGCCAAAATATAGTTGATTACAATAATATATATAGACATATGCAAATGTAATAGAATTTGAATAATCTCTACTTGAAGACGTTGTGATTGAGATAGACTCGATAACAATTTCTATAATTATCCTCACTAGCATAAGAAATATGTGTTACAGTCTAAACATGTTTCAAGAATATACACTATTTATCTATAGCATTTTCACATTATTTATTGTCACATTATCGTTAGTAGAAATCGTGAAAAAGACATTGTGCGCTTGCAAGAAAAATTTCTAAAAACAATGTAACGAAAAGTATATATGCTCCAGAAAATGATTTTTGTCAAAATATATAGTTGATTACATTAATATATATATATATAAAATGTAGTCGATCCATGATTACGAAGTTATGCGTACAGCTGGTTAGTTAGTATTTACATAAATAAATAAATTACTTATTGAACTTGAATGTCACGTTAACATTATCACACTAAGCGTGTACGTACCCGATCCTCGTTATCACCGCAGGTCTCTAAATTGCGTTGGTAGTAAGTAATTTTATGGACAATAGACATGCTGCGGCCAGCTGCGGCTACCAGCTGCTCACCGCTAATATCGCTTGCAAAAAAAAGGTCCGACACGTAAACGCGAATGTGGACACGAACGGCCCTCCGAGAACGAGATGAGACACACTAAACTAGAGCATACGTGTGATCGGTGCGAGTCGTGTAGTTCAGTTACTGCAGACCGCACGTAAAGACGGATTTGCATAATGCTATTCACAGAAAAATCGATCGATCATCTGATGCAAAGCGGGCACGGCCATAGCACCGCATTTCCCGTACGCGTGATTGGCCGTATTTCTTTATCAATAAGAAATAATTTACGCTTACGCAAACTTCGTGTTACAATACCTTAAAGCTCCGCTTGACATTTACGTGTCGCACACATGTTTTTTAGGGTAATGTTTTCTGAACAGAGACTCCTCTCCTTCAGGGGGCTCCGATCGCTTCTTCTACCGACGAGCCAATCACCGAGCATCATACGTACTTGAACCAAAGAGAAGCCTGAGAGTGGACATGCCCGCGTTTTAAGCCTATCCACTGGCGCCACACGTGCCACATACCGAATGATAGCGATGTCCACAAATATTTTCAACGGGGAAACATGTACGCTACGATTCACGTTTCGATTCTTGAAATGATTTTCTATGAGAAATAACTCAAATACAAGTTGAGGCAATGCTGACATAACACACTGACGAGATACTGTTGAAGACCGTCAGCCCTGGATAAATTTTCGTACCGGCCAAAGGGATCGGAGATAATTGCAGAGCGTCGATGTTATCGACTTTTGACATAATTTGCGATTTATACTCTAATACATTATTAAAATCATAATAATTATTAATATATATTATTAATTTTTATTTTATTTTATATATTTTTTTATAATTTTTATTATATATTAATAATTATAAATTATTAATACATTAATAATTTTTATTATATAAATATGATTTGTAAATAAGTATGAATACTTATAATGCTATAGCATATATAATAAAAATCATGATTTTAATCATGTATAATAAAAAAAATTAATCAAATAAAAATATAATCGCAAATTTGTGTCAAAAATTCATAACATCGACACCCTGCAATTACCTCCGGGCCCTTTGGCCGAACAATTTACCCAGGGTTGACGGTCTTAATTAACAGTATAAATTTTATAACGAGCATAAATAATTAATATATAACTTAAGCATTGATTTATAGTCGATAAAAGCAGAATAAAAGCAGAGAGACTTGAGAGGATATAACGATCTTTTTCCTGTTACTGCAAAATGCCCTTACGCACTAATGCCCCTTGAAAAAGTGATGTAAACTATTATACATAGCATAACATCCACTTTTCTATACCACGGATATACAATCTGTGTAAGTGTCCATACTACATCCATATTTTCCGAAACTGCTAGAGCTTTATTCTCAAAAAATTTCGCATATGAAAATACGGAAATGTTTTTTCGAATGCGCAATTTTTCGAGAATAAAGACCCAGGATGTTTTTTTGTTCAAAAATAAATCCAGAAAAAGTTTAGATGGAATACTTCACAAACATATTATACCTCTAAGAACTTTCTGTCGCATTGTAATTCAGTTATACATTTTTATACATTATTGTAAAAATTGTATAAATTTAGCCTCGTATTTAATTGTAAAGTATAACAATACACAAGATCCATTTGAAATAAAAATTAAAGAAATTGACGCTTAGTTTATTCTTTTCATGAGATTTTAATAGTAACATCCATGAAAAATCACAGTTTCAAGATTAAGCTTGATATTGCATAAACGAAATATATAAGAAATATATAAATATAAATATAACGTAAAACATGTTACTCTGCGACGATCTGTCACTGGTGTTAATGTCAAACGAATTTGATGTCGGAAAATTATTTACATTAAATTTTCGATTTGCGACAGTTTCGCTATTGAAGTTATACGACTCTTTTCGTGCCGAACCTATATCATTCCATGTCATTTCGCTCGTAAGATTGGACGTTAAAGAAGTTTTTACAAAGTTTTCATTGGAATGACTGACCTTTTGTTCTAGTAAGACCTCCTTAATAATTTTCAAGATTTTATTCAATTGGATCTGATTCAAGATTGAGAGTGACGAATCCACATTGTAGAAATCGTTAAGAATGTCAGTCAACTCGATCTGCAACGTCTTATTATCATTCCAGATCGACATGTAGAGCTGTTCTTCGATGTCATTAGGAATGAATTGTTGTTCTGCCAAGAATGGATTTGTCGTCGTCTTCGCATCGCCGGAGATTGACGTCTTTGCTCGATGCGTTTGCGAAGGAATAACTGTTCTGGAAGTTTCTCGTCAATGCAGACGGAACGTGTTGTTTGCCGAGAGGCGAAAAACGTGGCGGCGATCTCATCGGCTGTTGCTGATGCTGATTACCATTGTATATAGGCGTCGATCCAGATGGAACTGAAGGTACCTCGTGTTTCCCCTCTGTCGATGTTGCTTTGCAGCAGTTCTCGGGCATCAGGCTCTCCTCAGCGAAGCAATACGTCGGCAATTGATACCAATTGTTTACCACATACTTCATTATGTTCGCCATGTCGACGGTATCAGCCTGAGTGACGAAAGCAAAAGGAAAAATATTAGATAAAGTGGAAGTAGATCTGGTGAAATTAATATGTCATATAATCGCAAAATAGTTACTCAGATAAATATATATTAATTGTTCAATTGCATAACAAAATTATATAATTATTATACATTTCAATTTTATGAGAAATTATATTAGAATTATATTAGAAACAATATAATTCAATATAATAATATATATTGTATAATTGTATTGTTATATAATACCATTATTACATATATATTATATAAAATTGTATTAATAATTATATTTCATTTAAAGTTATAAAATAATCATACATATTTTGATTTACATAATTATAATTATTGTATAATAATTATATCAAATCACAAACGTATTTTTAATTAAAAAAAAGAGAAAAGTTGATTGTTTATAAAAGTTTATATCGAGAAAAATTTTCTATCGTGACATAATTTTAAATTTCTAAATTTATTGTTCAGTAATTTGCGTTGTTTATTCGGGTAGTTGTACGATGTTAAATAGAATTAAAGTTGTTATTAGATCCTCCACTCACTGTCATCAGATTCTATATCACAGTCATTGAAAGTCAGCGGAGCAACTGCTATCTCGGTCATTCATGTCATTACTCGTCGATTTGCACGTTTCGGACATGCAACCCAATTCATCATCCCTTTTAGGCCCAGTTCCACAAATGTAAGAATAACTTTAATCTTGATTTAATTTACAGTTTATCTCTTTCTAATTCTTAGATTAGAAAAAGATAAAGCAAGTTGAACTTCGGTTAAATCGAGTTAACAGCGAATTGTAAAACTGGGCCTTAAGCGGTGTCTACAATGAGATTTAAGACTTAAGTTTCGAGCCATTAATTTGTGATGTCATTTCCGTAAGAAATTGACCAATCATAATCGATTATTCTCTTCACATTCATCTAAGATTGGTCCATTTCTTACGAATTAAAGCTTACAACATCTATTGTGTTTTGGGACAGTTTTTCGGGATCAATATCAACTTTCAAATAATATGTTATGTCATATATACGCACCATTTGACCAACTTGCGCTAGTCTCTCATTCACTAACCAATCATTTATATTCACATCCTCTTCTTCGGTTGTATCGGTCAAAACAACCATCATAGAATTGTTCTGTCAAAATAATCAAATATAAATAATTTTATAACAATTTTGCAATTTTATAATATTAAGTTTCATAGTTTAAGAGATTTAAGAGATTTAGAAAATAAGAGTTTATTTTTAATTGTTTCTTTAATCTTAAAATTTAAGTAATAAAAAAATAAATCATGAACAACAATTACATATATCAACATATATCAATTATAGAAATCAAAACCACAAAGACGAACATTATAAAATAAATACTTATAAAGAAAAATACCATTAATTATAAAATAAATTTAAGAATTAAAATATTTTTAATGTTTTAACTTTTAAAAATAAAGTAATCTCACCGTAGCATCAACAGTAATTATGCTTGCAGCTAGAAGAGTATCGGCGATCTTGTCAACTAATTGAGCCTTCACGCTTTTCTTCCAGCGATCACCAACATTTGGTCTAACATTATATAAGCTGCAAGGTATTGCTTGAGCGGGCAAATAGGAAAACTTTTTATGCAAATAAAATACCTCCTCAGGTGCGCACTTCTTCAAAGTGCCTATATCATAAAAAAATACCTGTTTTGGAAGATAATAATTATATATATTAAAATATAATTTTTAAGATTTTACAAATTAATGAAATTATTTGTTGGAAACTTATCATATGTTGTACTAACCGTTACTCTGAAATCCGGTTTTACACTTTTAATAATTCCTCGGTGCCACCTATGCATATAAGGGCAGGCACAATTCAAGCCCTTTTGCAAGGTGATTTTTGCAATTGTATATGAACTTTTGTTCAACTCGTAGAAATTACTGAAAACAAGATAATTTCAGCTCATTTTACTGCCAGCGTTAATAAACAAAATTTGCAGAGATTGATCAACTTACTCATGTACTTACTGTAGGTCATCTAGCAGTCTATAAAAACGGTACTTGTTTTTTCGAAGATGTATCCAGAAAAAGTTTGGATTAAATAATGCACAAACATATACCTCTAAAAACTTTCTGTCGCATTGTAATTCAGTTACTAGTATTTTTTCTACATTATCACCATAATTCATTACATCGTTGGAAGCGAATCTCTTGGTAATGGTAGGCGACTGTAAAATTATATGATCATTGAATTATCATGCTGTATCACAAATAATAAACATCTTTTTTGTATCCATGTATTTATATGTGTATGTATACATATATATATATATATATATATATTTCAATATTCATTATAACACATAAATACATTCAACAAAGAAGAAATAATTAAACTAACAATATATAAAAGAGAAAATACTGTAAATGCATTTTTATACATTATAAAATTAACAATTTATAAAAATTGTTACAGATAAATTTAGCCTCGTATTTAATTATAAGTATAATAATTCACAAGATTTCTATTTAAAATAAAAATTAAACAAAAAAAAAGAATTGACACTTAGCTTAATATATTTTTCATAAGATTTTAACAGTAATATCCATGAAAAAACATTTAGTTTTAGCACTATTAATAATGGCACATGTTCCACGAGAATATATATTTTGCTAACAAATTCTAGAGCTAATTCTAAAATATTATTAAGCAAGTATTATATAAATGTTCCCAATAAATAAACTTATTACATACAACTTCCGACGGGATTGGCGGATCGTCTTCAGCATTTCTGCAATGTGCTCGCACTGGATTGTGCTCGTCACGTCTGTTGCAAAGTGTATGTGTATTCGAAGCTTGTGCTATGTCAGTAGGCTCCGTTTTTGAAACTACTGGCCAAAAATCTGCGCTATATAATAAAAAGTCAGAGGTTTTATTGACTTGCGTCATGTAAAAAATTTTCGGCAGGCGTGACGTGAATTCACGCACACTAATAAAGCCGAGTTCGGTGTAATTCAGGTGCTCTTTGTATTCGTAAAGATATATATCAGGCAGATCAGCACACCAGATACCATCCGGATGTTTTTTCAGTAATTTCTCTAATCGAAGCTTTATTTTGTCGCTTATTATCTCAGTTGGGACAAGGTGTTTGATATCCTTCATTTCTGTGCTGCTCTTACTGCTACTCATCATGGTACTGTAGTCGTTACCTTCTGAAATGTTTTCAGCCTTGTACATGTCTTTATTTTCTAAATTGTTTTTTACCTTGTACATGTCAATCTGTTCATATATCATATTATGCTGCGCAATATCCGTTTCAAGCAGCTCGCTCGCTTTTACGTGTCTCATATAGTTGTTACCGGGGTTACAATCAGCTGGTATGAAATCATTTTCATCGCTAGAACATTCCACCCAATCCTCCTCTCCGGCGAAAAATATATTTTGCGTGTTCAAAGGCAATCCTGAATCGCTTGGTGACTCTGACAGCTTTTTCTTCATAGGCTGCGAATAGGCTTCATTATCTTGCAGATTATCATTCTGGACCGGATATATCATGTTACCATCTAGAATCAAATGATGTGATAACTCGCGCAGTTGACTCCGCAAATTATATTCAGACAGATTGATGTGTGGTACTAGATGTTGTGCAAACATCACAGCATTGTCCACACTCACACCATTTGGATTGTTCTTGATATATTGTGTTAGATGAAGTAACTCGTCAGATGAGAGTCTAACTCGCTGATAGTTGTGCTGGATACGACGATTGAATGTAATCGACGATTGAATGTAGAACTCAGAAGGGGTATTACGTAAAGAGGGTGGAGTGTATATGATATTTTTCACATTCTTCCTCTTTTGTTGCACTACCAGCGAACTCACGTACTTATTTTTCTCCGACGCAATCCGTACGTAGTGAATATCATTATGCTGCTCAACTTTGAAATACTCCGGCATATTTTGGAGAAATTCCACTAAGTTGGCAAAACCGAATTTACGAAATGGTATACGTTTTCCGTTTTGTTCATAAAAATCGTTATCAAGACGAGCTACAAGTATGGGATTTTTCCGGGAGATCAGTAACGACAGAATACTCTTGAGAATCTTATCAAGTCGGTCCAGGTTCCCCATCTTTGAAACTTCTGTTTGTCGTAAGAACTTTTATTATTATTATTACCTCTTATTATATAAAATAAAAACAAAAGAATTATATTTAATAAAACTTTGCAGGTTTACAAAGTATATTAATATATTATCAAAACAAATTAAATTTAACCAATAAAAATTAAGTTTAAAAAACAAAGCTGACATAATTTCTTAACTTGTTATTCTATGGAATGACATACATAGTATAACAAACTTTTATAATCTGCTTATATATCGTAGTAAAAACTGTTCCAATTTTCACACTTGTAAAATTAAAGGTATGCATATCGAATCAATATCATAGATATAAGGTGGTATTCGTAATTCAATTTTATATGTAAAACTCTAATTAAATCTAATTTTATGTTGTCTCAGATTTTTAACTGCAGACTTCAGATCAGAATCTGTAGTTTATGTCAAAATATAGGATTCCATTCTATATAATTTTATGTACTATGTAATTAGTAATATATATAAAAAAATAATATTAAAAAATTAAGAAATTTGAGACATACATGCATAAAAATTGTATTAAAAAATGCAACATAAAAAAAATGTCATAAGAAACTGTAAATGAAAAATATGTGAGATTTCTATCCTAGTATCTGGCATGTTTTATCAATTTAACTTTTCTTAAATTAAAATTTGTAAGCGTTATAAAGGAAAACTTGAAGAAAAATATACTTTTCGATGAGAAATTGTTTCATAAGCAAGACGTCAAGTAATGTTTAAAACAAAAAAAAAGTTTTAACTCTTCTACACAAAGATTTACGTACAGTCAGACGACATGCAAAGAAAAGGTATGATTTTCATTACGTACTCCCTTCTGTAGATTCTTCTAGCAATTAACAAATGGACCTGCGAGACCACGTGCGGATTAATAGTAAGATGAACTAATTATTGCTGATGCACCGATATGAAGAGTGAACGCAATCTGATTCCTATAAAACATAAAAATTAGATAAGGCGAAAAAAAAGCTGAATTTAAGTTAAAGTAAGCGAAAGCACTCGATTACGAACGAAGAGAAAAGATGTTTTTTGCTAACCGCGAAATTTTACAGCCATTTTATAATCATACCCTTGCAACGTCGCCTTCTCGTGAAAATCAGAGAACAATTAGTCGAATGATGCAGTACTAAAACGTAATGATAGTAGAATACTCGGCCACCTCAGTCCGTGGCTCGCACACGAATCGTGAAAATGTGCATATGTACAAACTACAATTCGCGCCAAATCTACACTTCAGCTTCACCGTTAGCACCAGTTAGCAAGCATAATCGTCACGACCGTCACGACCGACGAGGTATTGTTAAAAAAGACAGTCGGCCAAGGCGCATTCTCGACTCTCGTGCCTGGCAAGTGGACTCAGAGGGTAATCAAAGAACGATGATATTACCATCAACGATTTTGGCTGTACCAAGGATAACAAATACGATCGTAGTCACATACATACATATATATATATATATTTTTTTTTATTATTGCAACAGTAAAAAGTTTTGATGTTAAAAATTAATTATTACTTTTCAATTTTTGCAACTTATGCAATTTCATCGATCTTCAATTACTCCCGGGCCTACCCATGTGGATTCACTTCGCATGCAGTTATATGAAAATTTATCGTTACCTCGTCGATGGCAATGCAGATCATGAAAAATGATCGAGAGAAACCCCTGAGAGAGCTCTCCTAGGACATTATAATTATGACGGCCTTTTGCATGTTACCATTCGATGACGGCGTTTTATTTGTTACCCACTACTGTTACCTCAAAATTCCCTCGAGCACTAAC